AAATATCTTAGAGCCTAGATTCTAACGCTTCAAACCGTTTATCATTTGGACATCGTATGAGAGAGTTATGCCCAATTCCGTGTCGAAATATATTTTCCATCGTCGTCAGCGTCCATGGTAGCATGAGGCGCTATCCCTGGCGCTGGGACAATCTGAGGTACTGAAAATGGCGCCACAGGCAGCGCCCCGGACATAAAAATCCCATAAAATGGGGAGTTTAGCTTTTTTTACTCATTTTTTAGTTTGTGGAACTCGGTTTAGGCGATATTTGGGCGATTTTTATGGGAAAACGTTGGGGTAAGTGTTCCTTATCCTATATTGATTATATTTCATGATTTTGTACTCATTTACATCATAAATTCGTGAATTTAAGGAAGAAAAATCATATTTTTACAAAATCCTTCAAAAATATAAAATGAATATTTGAAGGTCAATCCGATGTCGGAATTCGATAATTTTTGTATGGTTGAACTCGTATCAGAACGGGTGTTCGGATTTCGTAAGTTTTTTCAGGATTCAAGACGTGGGTCCCACTGCTAATTTTTAAAATAAATTTCGGATTTTAATCCAAAATATTTATATTTCATACAGAATTAGTTCCTACGATTCGTGTTGAGTATGTTGAATTGTTTGTGATTAGATTTGAAGCTTTCAGACACGAATTCGCGAGGCAAAGATGTATTGGAATCTTGAAATTTGTTTGCAAAGCGGGGTAAGTATCGTGGTTAACCTTCACTTGAGGGAATAGAACCCTTGAATTATTTGTTACGTAAAATTCATGTGAACGACGTATAGGCGAGGTGACGAGTGTCTATACATTGTCAAATTAATTGTTTGCCTAATTATTTGAAAATTATAAATTATTTTAAATCATGAATTAATTATTATATTAATTATTTCTCTCATATTCCTTGCTCAATATTATGCCTTGAATCCATGCTATAATTGCTACATGCTTATTTGATTTATGTGACTTAATTGCTACTTCACATTTAGCATACTAATTATTAAATTATCTATTTCATCCTTAATTTCCACAATTAATTGTCACATGTCATCACTTATTTCTAAATAAACCATAATTATTGTATGCTTGTTGTCTTAAAATTTTATATTAATTGTTGTATTTATTGGAGTAATTTCTTTTATAAGAATTGATTGAAATGAATATATTGGAGGAGCGGGTTGTACACCGCAACAGAATTGATTGAAATGAATATATTGGAGGAACAGGTTGCACGCCGCAACAGAATTGATTGAAATGAATATATTGGAGGAACGGGTTGCACACCGCAACAGAATTAATTGAAATAAATATATTAGAGGATCGGGTAGCACGCTGCAACAGAATTGAATATGAATATATTGTGGGATCGGGTTGCACGCCGCAACGGAAACTGATTGAAATAATAATTGGTTATGACTGCCGAGTTGGCTTCAACTGCTGAAAAGAGATACCTGTTTTATTTCTATTATTGTTGTTATTATTATTATTGCATACATGTTAATGTAAGTGACCTGCCTTAGCCTCGTCACTACTTCGTCGAGGTTAGGTTCGGCACTTACAAGATACATGGGGTCTGTTGTACTCATACTACACTCTCCATTTCTTGTGCAGATATTGGAGTTGGTCCCAGCGGCGTATAGTAGATTTGCTCGGATTCAGCTATTCGCAGGAGACTTGGGGAATAGCTGCATGGCGTTCGCAGTTCTGAAGAACCCTTCCACTTTATCATAGCTGTGTATTTCTTTCAGACAACTTTATTTTCATTCAGACCTCTATTTGTATTATTCTAGTAGCTCGTGCACTTGTGACACCAATTCTGAGATGATATTTAGATATCGCTATTATTATGGATTATTCACTACATTTCACACTTTATTTCTGTATTTGTTTCTTCGTTACTAATTAATTTAAAATTATTTAAAATGGCTAATATTATTCTAACGTTGGTTTGCCTAGCAAATGAAATGTTAGGTGTCATCACGGTTCGAAGGTGAAATTTTGGGTTGTGACAAAAAGTGTGTGAGTACTGAGTACTAGTATTGAAGAAGTTGTTAATATATTCTCTTCGTTCTATTTTATGTGATACACTTTTTATTTTAGTTTGCCGGAAGGTTATTGCATTTTTCTATTTGGAGATTGGTGTTAATTATTATGTGGACTTACTCAATGTAAAAGTTTACCTTTTTATTTAATTTTGCATTGACTAGTGCCTCTACTAATTCACTCAGATATTAATAGCGAATAATAACCGAGTTGCGTAAACCAACTATTCATTTGTTTACTTGGGGGAAGGGCAAGGGGTAATGGGTACGGGAAATGAGTAGCTTTTTTATTTGTTTTAAAAAATAGCAGGGGAAGGAAATAATATGCTACTAATAGGATTTGAAGCCTCTAACTTACGTAGAAAATAGAAAGTTCACCAAGTGAGTTAGCTCTTATCCCCAAATGAGTAGCTTAAGGGATCATTTGTTATGTGAAATAAGGGATAATAAATAATTCCGGGATTAGATGCAAGATTATTTTATCTCATGTTTGATTAAATTTTTGAATCCGGTATTAGCAATTTCGGAATTAATTAATCTCACAATTGACTATTATTCTACCCTACATTGAGGATTAGATAATAATCCCGAGATTTATTAATTTCGGAATAAACGCTAAAATGACAAAGATGCTCTTCTTCAAGGCTCTTCCCCAAAGTCTTTTAAACAATCCAAAGTTAAAATTGAAAATAAAATTTTATCTTAATTTATCTAGTATAAACCAAATACATATTTATATTATTCCCCATATATTCGGCTTTTAGTCCAATAACTAAACATCTTCCAATAAAAATATATTCAACAAAAAAAATCCTTCATTATCTAATTTTCATATTATAATCTCATCATTATAATCCCGGGATAACTTCGGCAACCAAAACCCTCTAAAAGTTTGAAACCACATTCAATGTTTTGAAAGTTTGAAAACGCGGGGCAGAATTTAAAGGAAGTGGTATTTTAGTTCTACAACCTGTCACCCATGAGTTTACAGGTTGGCAATGCACTGCCCATTAATGGCAGTAACACAACTAAAATATAAAGGCCATCCCTTATTTTTGCATAAAATTTTTACTCCTATTTTTTAAAAAAAAGACTAATCAACAATTTTAGTTTTGTGAATTCATATAAAGATTTTCATTTCTGTAATTGATATTTTGCATTTCTAAAAATTAAGAAGCAATAAATCGCAAAACATTGTAATTTATATGAATATACTTTACAATATTAATAAATCATGACAAAATAAATATCAATTTGATCCCCCGATTGAATCGGGGGCAAACGCCTACGAAAAGATCGCTTGAATTTAAGAAAAGGTTGCTTGGATTTATCCATGCTTTGTTTGTTTAATTTATTTCTTATCCCTAAAATCCTATTTCTTAATTCTAATTCAGTTTAAATCAACCCAAAATAAGATTTTTAAAAAATAGGATCAACCGAGCTATATCCCCCCGAGCCAAGTGGAGCATTCATGAAGTAGTCAGATGCTTCTTCTATTCTTTTTCCGGGCGCAGCTGGGCCATCCTGGACTTGAACCAGAGACCCCACCCGTAAAGTAAATCATCGCATCTACGGTCCAACCAATTGGGAGAGAATCAATAGATTCCTTTTCGGGAGCGATTCATCCTTCCCGAACGCAGCATACAACTCTCCGATGTACTGCGCTGAGCACATATTGTGTTTTTTGGCTTATGCTTTTTGGCAGATATCTGGCATTGGGTGTATTGGGATCTAGAAATATTTTCTAATGAACGTACAGGAAAACCCTCTTTGGATTTGCCAAAAATCTTTGTAATTCATTTAATTCTCTCAGGGGCGGCTTGCTTTGGTTTTGGTGCATTTCATGTAACATGCTTGTATGGTCCCAGAATATGGGTGTCCGACCCTTATGGACTAACGGGAAAAGTACAACCTGTAAATCCAGCGTGGGGCGTGGAAGGTTTTGATCCTTTTGTTCCAGGAGGAATAGCCTCTCATCATATTGCAGCAGGAACATTGGGCATATTAGCGGGCCTATTCCATCTTAACATTAGTCCGCCACAACGTCTATACAAAGGATTGTGTATGGAAAATATTGAAATCGTTCTTTCCAGTAGTATCGATGTTGTCTTTTTTGCAGCTTTTGTTGTTGCCGGAACTGTGTGATATGGTTTGGCAACTACCCCGATTGAATTATTTGGACCCATTCGTTACCAATGGATCAGGGGTACTTCCAGCAAGAAATATATCGAAGAATTATATTTTATTTTTAAAAAAAATTAAGTAGCAGCAGTAACATTGTTATTGTTCTTAGAGAAATACAACATCATTATTCCTATTACTTCCTTCAATTTTGCTTATTTGTTGTTTAAGATTTTAATTCGCATACCATTAATAAAAGATTTGATATCATTGATCATAATTATTTTTAATTAAATCACCCTTATCTTATTTAAAATAATTAATTAATGACTGTATGAGTCCTTTTGGAGTAGTAAGAATGAAATTAAAAAGAAAAATAATGCATTCTGGATTTTAAAAATGAGTACTCTTTCTGTTCCAATTTATGTTATACTTTACGCTTATTGAGATTCAAACTTCTTATTTTTTATGGTAGATTTAGACATAGAATCTCTAGATTTTCTGAAATAAAATTAACGTATTTGAAAAATACGTAAAAAAATACTATAAATCATAATAATTGACAATTCAATATATTTAAAAAGCATACGAAAAACTGGCGTTAAAAGATAAATTCATTTTGACTATTGAAATTCGATTATTTTCACATAAATTGAGACGGAAAAAATAATATTTTTTACTAGTTGAAGTGATAAATAAAAAAGGACCGAAAGAAGTTGTTATTAAGTAGACTGTACTGTAAGATTTTTATTTTGTCTCGTTGCTGTACATACATAATTGACGTCGCTTCCTGGTATATTACTCAATGCATTCTCATCTCCTACTTATACCTCCCTTATTTCATCTCTCCCCCTTTATTTTTCTCATACATTCAAATTGTTCATTAGTTCATTCATCCATTTTCTATTAACACAAGCAACTAAATCAATCCTCTCTTCTTGAATCAGATCACCAAAGCACAACAGCAAAATGGGTATATGCAATTCTTGCGAATCTACATCAGTAGCTACAGCAAAATTAATACTACAAGACGGAAGATTACAAGAATTCTCTTATCCTATTAAAGCGTCATATCTCTTACAAAAAGATCCAAATATCTTCATTTGTAACTCTGATGAAATGGACTTTGGAGATATTGTTTCAGCCATAAAATCTGACGAAGAGCTTCAATTGGGTCAACTGTATTTTGCTTTACCTTTGAACCGGCTGAAACGTAAGCTTAAGGCGGAAGAAATGGCTGAGTTAGCAGTGAAGGCTAGTTCTGCATTGAATAGTATTTGTGGTAAAGAGAAATGTGGGTGTCGTAATAAAGTGGTTTTATTTTCAGGAGTGAGAGGTGGTGGGAATTTGGGGAAGAAGGTGGCGGGTGACGGTGGTTCGACGGTGCCTGAGGGCAGAAGAGGGAGGAGTAGTGGTGGTGGGCGGAGAGCGAAGTTCACGGCGAGGTTGAGTGCAATATCTGAGTAGGATAAATTCTGGGGCATTTTCTTTTTTTGAAAGAACTTGTTATTCCACTGGGTAAAAGTACGGTAAAGGTGGCAGGTATCCGAAGAAATAATGGTGCGTGCAAATTGGTCGAACACAATCACCATTAGGCAATTGGTACAGGGAAAGAAAGAGCGGATGAAATAGTCAATGTGCACAATCCTAAACGCTACTGTCATTAGAAAAAAATGTACTATATGTGCAAGATTGACCACTCATGAGATATTGAAGTTAGGTAAAAGACATGTTTTGAGTAGATCTAGGACGAGATAGAATTGTTATTGAATTTTTGAGGTCTCGAAAGCAGAATCCTAGGATTAATCTGATTTCGCCAATGGGAGATCGGAGAAGGGGAAGTACAAAAAGATAATGGGAATCAGACCCACATTTTAATATCCACTAGATTAGAACTTGTTGATGGGTGAAGCTTGAGATTAGAATAGTGTTCATTTTATCTTGTAAATAGAAGGTTTTGTAAATAAGTTGAGATTCAAGAGCTGCACTCAAATTATTTGGGCGATTCAAAATTGGTCAGCTTCTTTTTTTAGAATTTTTGTTTTGCTGGTTAACAAACCATTATAGGCGTTTAATCATGATTTTTCCCGCAAAGGGTTAATTTGGTAAGCTGCAAATGTTCAATCATGATAGTAATTCGCCTAACATTTTCATTTACGTTCGCTTTTACTTGTCCACTATATATACTAAAGTATATATTTTTTAACTTGTCCTGTCTGTTCCAAAATAAATAACACATTTCTAAATTTAAAATTAATTTAACTTTAAAATCTTCATTTTATCTTAAATGAGAAGCTTTTATAATCACACAAAAGTCATAGTCTTACAAAACTTTTAACCCTTAATCTTTTATGAACACAATTTTTAAAAGTCTTCTTTACATTTTTTAAACTTCTACCGAGTCAAACTACCTCATCTAAATTGAAACGGATGGGTATTAATTATTAGCGCATCATAAATGGAGTAGAAACTTATGAAAGCTTTTTTTTTTTTTGGTTCAAATAATGAAAGCTACAAATGTCAACCGTTATTTAGGTGGCTTATACGTTTGAAGTTTTTGAGTCTTCAAATTTAAATTTTCAATTTTCTCATAATTAGTTTGTTTGAACTAAATGTTGAATATATATATTTTTAAATTTTCAAACTTAGTCTGCCAACTCTTTCAAAGACGGAAAACTCCAAAACGTTTATTTTGAAACGTTTTTATTTTTTTATTTTTTATTTGGTATAAGCATCGGGTATCTAGTATACTGTATACACTATACACTTGTCTGACTAATACAACTTGGTGTGACATATGGCCCATTAAACCGCTCCCAATGAAAAAGGTTTTTATTTTAAAAGCTCAAATTCAAAACTTTTAGTTAACGATACGAAAATTCTATCTATCCCATCACGTTCCTCGATAGTAAGGACAAGAGGTTGCTCTCTTCTCTTTCACCAGCTATCAAACCTTTTCAGCCATTTTGTTTGCAGAATATGCCACCAGCGTACTCCATCTTCTCGATTATAGAATATACATGATAATACGTTATGGATAAGAACATAATACTAGTTTAAAAATCTATGGAAGGAAAAAACAAAGTTATACATGTTGCCGAAATTGAGACAAAGTTAGATTCCGCCGGACAAGGACACCTAGGTCATGGCAGAAATTAATTACTAGGACCATGCTACTAATATTATTAATATAAAGGGTCGTTTGGTAGTGTGTATAAGAATAATATTAAATAGGATTTATTAGTAATATTGGTATTAGTTATGTTTGCATTAGTTATATTGGTATTAGTTATGCTCACATATTTCTTATCCGTTGTTTGGTTTGATGTATTAAAGCATTGCACAATTTATAAAAGAATTATTTATTTACAAAAATACTTTCATAACTAATCCATCACTTTATCTTTTTAAAAGAAATATATGTTGAGCAATGCTTTTACATGAAAAGGGTTTTAAAAAAATTTATTTGATTTGTCTACCTATATTGTAGTATCGAACTGGATATTTATTTATAAAAAAGAAAATATTCTAAATATTTACTCCCTCCGTTCCAATTTATGTGAACTTGTTTGACTAAGCACAGAATTTAAGAAAAAAGAAGACTTTTTGAATTTGTGGTCCTGAACAAGACAAAAGGGGGTTCAAAGTATTTGTGTGGTTATAAAAGCTTCTCATTAAGGGTAGAATTGAAAGTTTAGGCTAAATTATTTTTAAATTTAAAAAGGGGTCATTCTTTTTGGAACGGACCAAAAAGAAAATAGGTTCACATAAATTGGAACAAATGAAGTATTTGTTACTAGGGGTATAATTATTTTTTACTTTCTTGGATTATTGCTAACTTGCATTAATATAATAATATATTTTAATCAAGCATAAATTTTGAAGGATAATTTCATCTTTAACTAAGTTAATGCATGCATTAAAACTCATTGCATTGTTAATACCATAGTTTCTTATGCATTAGTTAGCGTAGGAGAATACCAAATAGGATATATAACTAGTGCTTGCATAACTAATGCATATGTTTAAAAAGTGTACCAAATAAAGTATTATTAAGGGACTTTTAGACAAATAGCTGGCGAAAAATCGGGCAGCAGCAAGATTACCTTTTGGATCCAGTTATATGAGTATATTATAAGGATTTAATTTATTATATACGCGGATAATATAAGAAAATTTTAAATTATATATAATGAAGTATAATTTAACTTAGTGTAGCAAATTATTTAGGTTATTTTCATTTATTATTTTTTTTTAATAATAACTATGAAATATTAACATTGAACAAAATAAATTAATATATCTAAAGAGCACATAGATCCATATTCACCTTCCAGGAAAGGTAATACTTTTTCTTATTATAATAAATTTTCTTGCATGTGGAGAATTACCTAGCATATCTCGCTAGAGAAGATTGGTTATTTATTGTCACATTTCAAGTTGGAGTGAGTGAGCAGTAAACATGCTAGGTATTGCCCTAATTTTCTTATCATATTTAATTTTCCTATCTCTTAAAAAATAGAGCAATATGTTTATCATAATTGAGTTTTTCTTTTCCTAAACGAAAAATATAATTCTTCCATATTTCGTTAATCCCTTTTTTTGGAGGAAAAGGTTTTGAATTTCTATAAATTGAGGATCCTTTTTTTCTTATTCAGTAGCATCCACAATGTAGCCATAAGGCGTTTGAGAGTCTTATTTAGGGGGATAACTTTTCGGGACAAGTGTTAGTGTGTCACTTGTGTTTGCCTCTTTGTGAGGTTGTTCTCTCGATATTTTGTACTCTCTTTTATATAGTGGATTGCTCATCTCCATCTGTGGATGTAAGTCAATAGACCGAATCGCGTTAAATGATTGTGTCTCTTTTTGTATATTTCTCTTTTGTTGTATGATTTATCGTTGTTCAAGATTGGCTTACTAGCTTCGGCATGACGCCTGATTTTTTCGGTTCTAACAAAATATTGAGTTTAATTAATTTATATACTTTGATCATGTAACGGAATTTTACACCATTAAGTCTGTTTACCCCAAAGTTGGGTAACAATTAAATCTGTACGCGCTTTAAAGGATATGTGGTTTAATTCAATACGAATAAGTAAGAGTAATAGATAAATAAATTAAAGATGAAATAAACGGTCAAACCACTCGCAATGTTAAGATCAGCACTGATCTTAGATTGATAGTGAACTCGTCCTCGATTGGACCCTCGGTTCAAGCCTAGTCGTGAATAAAGAACATAACAAGTAAATAACGCCTTTAACAATAGCTAGAGAACTAAATACATTTTTATTGCCTTGAATTGCGCGTTACAATGTGTCACACTAAAGAAAAGCTTCTCCTTTATATAGTAGGAGAGTTTCAGTCCTAGTATAAGTCTAAAAAAAATAAAAATCTTCTTTTCCCAGTAATTATTGATCCATAATCAACATTGAGCGAGATTCGCGTCGTGATATCCGGTTGAAGGCGAGTATTACGACCCTATATCCGTCATGCATAATTGTTCACCGTGTCTCCCGAGGTCTAGAACTTACACTTGGCTTGGGCGCGTCGCTCTACTATGTCCGATGTCTGATATACTGTTTACTCTTCTCGGATCTCGATACGAAGGGTCTCTGACCTCGATTACAATCTCCCAGATCCGTGATCCCCCTTCGTTTTCTCATCAGGAAATCGGGTTAGACATTGCCCCCAATTTTACCCGTACACAGATAGTCCCCTCGTTTTACGGAGAGTAGATTTATCGAAACGATGAGAAGCGATAAATGACCCCTGGTTCCTTCCTTCGTACGTTACGATCGAGACGACTGGTCAATGAAACATCCTATCAGTTGCGCCGTTCTGACTATGAACACGTGTCAATTGCCTGTTGACCGTCCTCGAATGTGAAACGTCATGCATTGATTGTCCTTCCTCTAAAAAAGCTCCGACCCTTTTTTACTTCTCCACTTTCCGATTCCAGAACTCTTTGATTTACCCTCAAATTTCCTACTTCCCTTTAACTCCTTCAAATTTTCATACATTGCCCCTTAGACCTTCATAACTTCATCCTCAATCTTCATACATTCTCTTTGAATCTTTAACCCAGACCGTCATATCTTCATTCCATCTTTAAATCTTCATATTGTTTCTTCAAACATTCATATTTTTTCTTCAAACCTTCATATTTCCCAGATCCCCATGGCAAAAACTTCCAAATTCGTGCCTCAGCAAATCGCTTCTTCATCTTCTAACCCGGCCACAAACACCAAAGTGACCATTCCTCAGGTGGCCCAGGAGCCTCCCTTGAAGAGCTCCGTACCCAGGGGCTTCTCTATCGGGAACGACTTCAACGTCAAGAAGGTCTAGAGTCAACAAGACCGAGGAAAGAGAGCATGGATGTATATATGCTTCGTTACTAAGGAAACACTACCCACAGTCCAGGTAGACTGTAACTGGGAGGGAAAGGAGGTGGTCGTCCCCAGGCCCAATGATGACATAACCACTCACGTGGAGGGGTATTTACGTGTTTATACTTACCCCTTCACGCTCACCCAGGCAGACCCCATAGTCCTCGACTTCTGCAAAAGGTACGAGGTCTGCCTTGAGCAGATTCATCTGTCCTTTTAGAGGATCGTAATCCTCCTTCGACACTTCGTGAACAACATCGAAGCACCTCGGTTTGTCCTCGACCATCTGCTTCGTCTATACAGTCCCCAAATCTTCTGATGAGGTTTAATCAAGCTCGTCCGCCGAGCAAGTAAGGCTCTGTTCTCGAGCATCAATGAGGACGAAGGTCGAGGTTGGAAGGGGAGGTTCGTTCGGGTGAAGACCGAAGACCTCATCCCCTCCGAATTTCTACTGTTCCCCGAAAAATGGAACACATCCCATAAGTCTTTTCCTTCTCGAGTATTTGGCATTTCCTTTTATTCTTTTCCTAATTGCCTGTGTTTGTCGTTGTGCAGCGGTTGCCCGGGTTTTAACGTATTCCCCCACTTTAAGGAATGGATCGAGAGGATCTGGCAATAGATGCCCTACTCCGAGCGTGCATGGAGCAAGCTCTCGAAGGGCAAGTAGGAGGACCGTTC